CGCTATCATCATCGCAGATTTCACTCATCCTCATCACCACGACTGGTTCACGTTGGCCTGCGGTGCTTCTCAGCCTGCAGTTCCTTTCGTTACACTGTAGTTGAAGCCGTTCATGGCAGTGACTCGTTTAAAGACAACTTTAGTATTGGGGGAAGTGTCGATAGCAGCGTTTCTTTTTACTTATACAAGCGTTGATAGCAGTGTCTCGTTTGTGGACAACTCATTATATATCAACTCATTCATACAGAGTTTCTTTTCGCAGCAAGTGAATGCACAGCAGTGTATCTGCATTACTGGCCCCCACTCCATTATCACTATCATCATCAACGATTTCCTACACGCGCGTGCGCGGCGGTCGCCATGAGTGAATAGTTTGCAGAGACTTCTCGCATTGATACCCATGGGTCACTTCAGAGTGAACTCATTTGTGATCTTCTTTCATTGGAAGTTGAATCGGTTGATGGCAGTGCCTCGTTTAAACTCCACTTTGGTATTGCTAGTAGTGTCAATGCCAGCGTTTCTTTTTAATTGTGCAAGCGTTGATAGCAGTGTCTCGTTTGTGGTTAGTTATAACAGCGTTGACAGCAGTGTCTCGTTTGCGGACACCTCATTGTACATCAACTCGCTGATACCGGGTTTCCTATCAACACCATCATCATCATCCTTAACCATGTTTGCTCGAGTTTCACCTGGCCGTCCAGCCGCGGCGGTGCTCCTCAGCCTGCCTTGTCACAATGCCAGCACGCGGCAAGGCATCGCCCCCGCCACCCCCGGCCCCGTGCGATGGCCCGTGGGAGATTCTGCCGGATCCGCCCGCACCGACTCCTCAGCCAGGTGTCGACGTGGTCTTTGAGCAGGCTCACCTCGAAGACATCCGCCGTACACCAGGGATGGGCGGCAAGACCGCCTGCCAGTGGCAGCGCGCGCTGCGCGCCGAGTGCATTGTCAACAACTTGTCGTTCAAAGACGTAACAAACGACCCGTCCTACGACTGGAAGCAACTGCTTCGGTCTGCCGCTCCGGGTTTCGCTGAGCGCATAATCGGGCAGGGCATCGCCCAGGTTCTCTTTCGCATCATCGAGACAGAGCGCGACCCTAACTACTCCAACACGGATGGCCACGGCAGGCACTTCTTCGAGTTCCGTCGTGCAGACGGTTCAGCCATGCGCCTGCATTACCATAAGAACGGCCGACCCGATGAGCCCACCTATGTCGGTCCACCACGCGCCGTTGCTCAGCCTGCCGTGCCTGAGCCTGGCGCTGCTCAGCCTCATGTTCCTCGTGGCGGCGCTGCTCAGACTGCCGTGCCTGACGGTGGCGCTGCTCAGCCTGCCGAGACTGGCGGTGATGCCCCACTGCTCTTCACACAGGAGCACCTGCAAGAGGCAGCCTGCTCGCGCCAGATTGTGGGCCGCGACGAAGCCAGCGCCGCTCTCCAATCGCTGTTGCACTACCACCATGGCGAGACTGCCCCAGGTGCTGTTGACATCACCGATGGCTCAGCATTTGACTGGCTTCGATGGGTGGCACATATCGAAGGTGCGCGCGACGTCATCCGCAATGGCGTCCACAGGGTCTACGCTGTCCGCTGGAATCCGCACTGGGCTCCAGAGGCCGTCTTCTGCTACGGCAACAACACCTACAGCACACTGGTGCCCCGCAAATCGCGCTACACAGGCTCGTGGAGCCACGCGCGAATTGTGACTCACCGGAACGCCAATTGGGTGACCGAACCGTTGCTATCTGCGGCCCCTGTGGCAGCTACGCCGTGGCTGGTGTTGCGGGATCAAATAACCTGGGAGTGATCTCTGGCAAACGAGATGTGGTGCTTCTCAGCCTGCACTCATGTGACACGCAATGCCGTGCCCTGCAATCGCGTGGTGTTTCTCAGCCTGCACTCGCAGGTCCTTCGGAGGTCAATTGTTATGAGTTCGGCACGGTCTCGGTCAAGTACAGCGTGCTGTGGGGATCCCGAGATGGGGCCTGGCTCAAGGTGCTCAAGACGTACTGGAGTGTCCCAGAGCCGGAGTGCCAGCTGATCCTCGGGAGTTGGAACGGCATTTTCAGGCCGTGGCCGGACACGTTCTGGATCAGGACGGGGGGGTCCGAGCCCGAGATAGATGCTAGCGCTCTGCAGTACAAGTGCTTTTCAGCATGCGACATCCTGCGGTGCTTCTCAGCCTGCAGGGTTCGCAGCGTGCGGTTTGCAATGCATTCCTTTTCAGTATGCGAGTTCCTGCGGTGTTTCTCAGGTTGCAGGGCTCCGAGGCTCTTCCCTTCGATGCCAATGTTTTCAGACACCGTAGCTCCGTTCCGTAAACATCTTCCAAGAGCCGCTCGCAACTTTTTGCAGCTGGCGGTCTGCAGACGTAGTCTGTCTCAGCATGCGAGCTCCCGCACGCTTCGCCGGCTTTTGCTGCGCGGACAATTTTCTCACACACGTCAGCGCCGTTTGTAGGCGTCAGAAAAACATGTAGACATTCACGAAGGGCTCAGTCTGTATATCGTCACATCATTACATACGCAGTCGTCGAACACATCGGTGTACATTCAGCGCTTTGTCCTTCTAGCTGGGTCGCTTCGTGCTGAGGCTGAGGCTGATGCAGGCTGAGGCTGAGGCAGGCTGAGGCTGAGGCCGAGGCCGACGGCAGACTGAGGCTGAGGCTGAAGCAGGCTGAGGCTGAGGCAGAGGCAGGCTGAGGCTGAGGCTGAGGCAGGCTGATGCTGAGGCAGGCTGAGGCTGAGGCTGAGGCTGATGCAGGCTGAGGCTGAGGCAGGCTGAGGCTGAGGCCGAGGCCGAAGGCAGACTGATGCTGAGGCTAAAGCAGGCTGAGGCTGAGGCTGAGGCAGGCTGAGGCTGAGGCAGGCGGAGGCTGAGGCTGAGGCAGGCTGAGGCTGAGGCTGTGACTGCGACTGCCGTTGCCACTGCGACTGTCCTCGCGAATGCGACAACGACTGCGAGAACAGCAGAATTCTACAACTGGATTCTCATCCGAATCTTAAGGGGAATGCTTCCAGATATGCTCCTACACATGGCTGTTAGGTTGCTTTGCCGGGATAATTTTTCCTTAGGTGTTTGAAGGATTTTGGAATTTGCTTCTTCTCGGCATTCCGACGGCTCAAGACGGCCCAAGAGGCCCCCAAGATCGCCCAAGAGGCCCCCAAGAGGGCCCCATGACGGCCCAAGTGGCCTCCAAGATGGCCCCAAGAGGGCCCCAAGACGGCCCAATAGGCCTCCAACACGCCCAAGATGGCCTCCAAGACGCCCAAGATGGCCTCCAAGACGGCCCCGAAGCGCCCCAAGAGGGTCCCCTGTTGGCCCAGAAAGGCCCCCAAGACGGCTCCCGACGGCGTCAGACGTGCCAGGAACCCACCAAGATGGCCGGAGTTGGCTCGAAGCTGGCCCAAGAGGCCCCCAAGAGGCCCCCCAAAGGGCCTCCAGGAAGGCCAGAAGATGCCAAAAATATTGTTTTTCCTAAGGTTTTTGACGGATTTCGACATTCATTCTTTTCGGCCTTCCGACGGCCCGAGACGGCCCAAGAGCCCCCAAATATCGCCGAAAGATCGCCCAAGAGGCCTCCAAGACGGCCAAGATGATCTTCAAGATGCCCACGTGTTCCCCGAAGGCTTTCCAAACCGATTCGGGGAACACATGGTCCGATGACTTGGCAGGTCTGGCCTCAACGTTCGGCCACATAGGCGCTTCCAAAAAGGCAGGGGGCGGCGGTGGTTCGCCGTAGGCGTCTTCGATCCGCCGCCCCCTGTCGATTCATCGCAGGGGTGCCTGGCGTGCCAGACCCTCTCGGTTTTGGTTTTGGTTCTTTTTCCAAAAGAACTCCCCCTGGTGCTTCGGCCCGTCCCGCTGGCCGCCCCCCAAGACCCGCAAGACGCACGCACACGCCATCGCCCAATCCCAATTCTTCCTCCAAGACGGCCCAACATGGCCTCGAGGATGGTCACGTTGGCCCAAGATGGCCTCCAAGATGGTCCAAGATGACCTCCAAGTCCACCCAAGATGGTCCAAGACGGCCTCCGAGACGGCCCAAGAGGGTCCAAGATACCTGCAAGTTCGCCAAGAAGTCTCCAAGACGGCCCAAGAGGCCTCCAAGAGTCTCTCCAGGAGTGCCCGAAGAGGCCAAAATCGTCCACTTTGAGATGGTTTTGGAAGGATTTGTCTTTTTGTCTTTTCGGCTTCCCGACGCTCCAAGACAGCCCAGGAGGCCTCCAAGAGCGCCCCAAGACGGCCCAAGAGGCCTCCAGGAGCGCCCCAAGACGGCCCAAGACGGCCCCAAGACGGCCGCAAGAGGGCCCAAACACGGCCCAAGAGGCCTCCAAGACGCCCCAGATGGCCTCCAAGACGGCCCCGAGGCGCCCCCAGAGGGCCCCAAGTCGGCCCCAAGAGGCCCCCAAGACGGCCCAAGAGGTCTCCAAGACGCTCAAGATAGCCTCCAAGACGGCACAAGAGCCCTCCAAGACGTCCTCCAAGAAGGCCCGAAAGGGTCAGAATGGCTTCCAGACGTCCAAGATGACCTTCAAGATGCCCACGTGTTCCCCGAAGGCTTTCCAAACCGATTCGGGGAACACATGGTCCGATAGCTTGGCAGACCTCTGGCCACAACCTTCGGCCACATAGGCGCTTCCAAAAAGGCAGGGGGCGGCGGTGATTCGCCGTAGGCGTCTTCGACACCCATAAACATTCAGAAGCACGCGTGGGTATCTTCAATCGGCGCTGGGACCCCCTCCTTGGCGCGCTCCGCGCGCCAGGGGCGGCGCCGCTGGCGCCGCCAAGGGGACCCAGCACTGACACGCGAAATCGCGGACCTCCGAAAATTCATGTTTATGGAGTTCTTCTTCGTCGACATTGGACGAATCAGCGGCGGACCCTTGAATCCTGGCAGCTTCCTGTCACGCAAGAAAACAGCCCGCCAGTGCAAATTCCTCGAGACGATGTGGCATCGGCGGGCTCCCTGGCCCCGCTCGGCTTTCTGCGCGCCGCCGACCGCCACTGGGGCAGCGCAGCCCCGACCCCCAGGCCCAGCGCCACGGCCCTGCGCGCCAGCGCCGGCGGGGTCCTCTCTGGGAGCCGACGCGGACACATACACCGCGCAATACCGGTCAACACCGCTCAATGGAGGGCGCGGTGCTGCGCAGTGCTGCGCGATGCTGCACGGCACCGGGGCTGCGCGTTGTTGCGAGGTGCTGCGCGGCCGTGCTGCTCTGTCGAGCTGCGAGCTAAGGTTTCCAAAAAGCTCCGATAGATCGGTCACGTAACTTCCCGATGCTCGGACCCAACAAGCAGCGCCAACAAGCCAGCGCCGACCTTCAAGGACGCCTCTCGAACTCCAGCACGAACACTCCCGCGGATCCTCCGACTCTGTGGGGCGGAGTTGCCCAAGGAACAACGATGGATTTTCTGCCCCGTGACTGTTTTTTCGAAAGCCCCCGGAGACCGAAAACGCCCCCCGGGCGTCGCAAACTAATGCAAAAACTCCGAGTCTGATTTTTCGTTTCCAGCCCACGTCGGAGGTCTGGGCTCGAACCTCGGACCTGTCCTGGGGTGCGCTCTGGATCCAGCCGTGTAGAAATCCAGAACTGCGACCAAACCCCCACCAAGATTCAGTCGGGGCGTCGGCGGTCTGCGGGCCTTCTCCAGAAGTCCCTGGGTCCTCCAAGCCTGTGGAAGCCTCCAGAAGCCAGAAGAAAAGAAACCACGCCCGAAAAGCTCGAACCTCGATGATTGCCAACGTAGACTCCGAACAATAAGTTCTCACACGGGCATCCACCATAAGGCACCAAGGCGGGAGCTATAAACCACGACAACTGAATTCCCATAGGAAGCGAAACCTAGCGCACCAGCAATAGGGAATACGACTGTAGGGCACCATCCAGAGGGCACCAAGACCAGGGCGGGAACCAGAAGTAACAGTATCTAAGACACCAGCCAGAGACTGCTAACCATGGGGCGCCAGGGTTGGAACCAGACATCTCGACAACGGGCGCATCACAGCGCACCAGCCATAGGGCACCAGGGGAAAAGCGAGAAATCGCGACAACGCAGGCACTAGCTTTGCCACAGCTATGGCGACTTCTGGTTGCCGCCCTGGTCCCGCCTATGGGTAGTGCCCGACGTCTTGTGTTCCAGGATGCCCCAATTGTCTCGACTTTCGGTTTCCGGCCTGGTGCCCCATGGGCCGTACCCTATGGATGGTGGCCCATCCTGCCCCATGTGTCGCGACATCTAGTTCCCGAATTGGTGCCCTATGGTTGGTCGATGCCCGACGTCCGGTGCCACGTGACGCCATAGTTGTCGCGACTTCTGGTTCCCGCCATGGTGCCCCATTTGCGGTATCCTATCGCTGGTGCAAGATTCTGCCATATTTGTCGCGACTTCTAGCTCTCGCCGAGATGCACTACTTACTGATGCAATGCGTTCCACAACCAATGCTTACAATTGGATATTCTCGCTCGTCTCGCCTAGAATTGGAGATCTGAATCGCGATTTCTGATTGCCTGTCGCCCACAAGACAGCGGCTAGAGCCTTAAGTCGCGACAACTGCCGCGCAAAAGGGTGCTCGCCATAGAACATCAGACGTAGGGAACCAGGGCGGCAAAATCGCAACACATATGTCCAAGTCCTTCCCACGCAAATAGAATGACTTGGTGCAAGCACTGTTTGGGAAACCGGCCAAGAATAAAAAACAGGATGAGGACAATGTGGTAACAGGTTGAAATGTAAAGGTAGGATGGGGCACCATCCAGAGGATCGATCAAGTCCTGTTTCAAGTGCGATAGTGAGCCGCCGAATCCACAGGCAAACCATGCAAATAGGGCACCGGCGCCTTGAGCCAGACGCCGGCGGGATGCTCGCTATGCTCGCTATATACACCTAGCCCTCTGAAGCCCGATTTCAAAATCGAAGGGAGAGGAAACGAGCTAGCGAGTACCAAGCTACATTTTACTGCGGATATTACGAAAAGAGTGCACGTGGCGAAATGCCATGGGGCTCGTGTTCAGACGAACCGTACCCATCCGGCCAACGCCAAGCTGGGTCTGCAAAGAAGCGGCAGGACCCGACCTGGTCAAGTGCCAGGGACGGGCCTGCAAAGTAACGCGTTGCAAACAAGGTGTTAGCAGGACCTGACCTGGCCAACTGCCAGCGACAGGCCTGAATGGGTCCTATCAGAAGGGGCCCAAAGACGCAAGCAGCAAACAGTATAATATTACACGAGAAGATTACAGGCGAAGTAAAATGCAAGCTTGTCTTACAGCGTATGACCACGCAGTGTAGGAGTACTCCGCCAGTTCTTCATGAGATGGGCTTAACCTTCGAGGCTGGAGCCCTGTAAGGAGTGTAAGTATTCAGCTCGTCATGAAAGGATTGCGCACCCGCCAATACCTGCAGTAGAAGGTCTCAGTCTATGAGACCCAGGGTGTGACCGTCAGCAGTCATATCCCGTGTGTCGCACCAGTGTATGCTGTGTACGATGCGTCTGTCCATCATATGTCAAATCCAGCTGCTGTGACCTAGTAGCGTGCATTCAGTCGGTTTTTTATATATAAACATGTCCTTGCTTGATAACTATCGATTTGAACACACAGATTCGGCATCTATGGTAAGAGCGACTTCGATGCACAGACAACCCATTTCAATAATATTATTGACTTGTGTCGGTGTAAGCGGTCCCGCCAATAGTTCGTGCAGGGCAGCGACTGCCGGGTCGCAGTCCTCTAAGTTGTGGGCTGCTGCTAGCGCTTCCGCAGAATAGCTTGACATTGCCTGCAGTCGATGCGACTTGCAATAGGCATCTATCAGGTGTGCGACGGGCTTGCCATTGCGCGTGGGTCCACGCCGGAGTAGGTTGGCACCTCGAATGCCATGCCCTTCCACGTCGTCCCCGGCGTCTCCGGTCAGCCCTTGGCAGCCGGAGTCGGCATGGAGGTCGACTTCCCCGGTGGGTTTCATAGCCAGGTAAGTCATCTGCTGACTTCGGTTTTGAAGCTTACGCGCAATTGCGTCTAGCCGCCGTACCTGGATGCCGGCAGGTTCTTGCGCCCGCTGCATTGCTGCAGCGCGCGCCATAAACTAGACTTGGGCGATGAGGGCATACGCTAATGCTCCACGAAGGTCCACAAACGCATGTCAGCGGCTTTCTGCTCAGCCTCCGCGCCCGCAAGGTCTGGGCGTTGGATAGGGCGAAATTGCTTGGTACATCGCCGTCGTGATCCAGTGCTACGTCGCCGCTTTCGTTCTTCGTGTATATGACGGTGTAGGTATGTTTATTGAGTTTGCATGCGCCGAACATGTTCTCGACGCATTTCACGCGGCGATCAAAGGTTTCCGCCTTTCCAATCATATTGATGTCCACGTGCTTGGCCGTCAGTAGCGCCTCCGCCGTTTCGAGCCTCGTCGCGAGACGCGGCTCGACAGCCGAGGCCGCGCGAGACGCTGCGAAACTTCAGGGGGAAGGCGCGCGGAGCATCCCTCGCTCCATAGCCTGGCTTCAGGCACTGCAAGAAAAGCTCGCTTTCGTCATATTTCTCTAGCCCAGGAAGAATTCTCAATGCAGGCGCTGGCCCTGGTGGTAACGCAAAGCATGCGATGCGTTCCAGTGGCCTCAGCAAGCGCGCAATAAGTGAGCCCCGCCATGGGCGCTTTGTCTACAGGGTTACATGCGCCTTCGCGCCTTCGCTGGCCAACAAGCACTGGCTTGACCTGCTGGCCGTTCCTGAAAAGGCTTCCACGTCGAAGGCTTCCACGTCCATGAATCCTCGTGAGACAACAAGTCACAGTCGGAGTGTCCTAACCATTATCCCTTGCCGTTCTTGACGAATTTCCATGTGCGGACGTAACGTGAGGCCACGACGGTTGGGGCTCCTGCGAGTTATGCTATATTGAAGCACTTGCTGTCGAATCAAATCTCAAGTTCAGAGCAAAGTGTCTTGCCGACCTGTACTGGATGAGCCTGAATGTCTGCCTTGGCGAGCGGATCGTCTTCCTCTACTGCCACCGCTCGTTTAGCGGCTGCAGGGACAGATGCCCGCATCGTGGTAACGCTATGCTTCCGTAGTCGGCTATACTGCTGTTCTGTGAGTACCACTTTGGCCACGTCGGCTACGAAACATAATTCCATGGATTGGCCACGGTGATCGCTGTCAAGGGCATGGTCTTCATCGTGATGCGGGATGGCGGAGACGCGATGCGCATCTTTATTGCGGTGGCGCGCGTCTTCGCGACATCGGGCACCTGGGTCGCCATTCGCAACTGCGCTCAGAACCGATTGGTCCGAGATCATCGTTGTGGGCACAATGCAAGGTGGACCTAGTGGCGCGGTCCCAAGAAAATCGCGCTCGTCATGGAGTTCAAATGCACCGAGCTTCGAGGACATAAGCCTCGAGGTCGGCTCTCCATTCCTCTTGGATCGCAGGGGGGGGGGCGTGTAGGCGGAGACAACTTGTTCTCAGGCGTTTCCGCCGGTCGAGCGTCGCCGCTGGAGGCAGGGCCGCCCAAATTTTCTTCGAATCCTGAGGTCCTCATCGAAGCCGGCCATGGGCTAGGATGACTTTCACATTGTAGCACTCTTGCATGTGTGGGCCCCAGTGATTGCATGGATGTCGAAGGCTGTGCCGTTCGCCTCGTGGCAGTGCAACCCTGGCGTCGCATCGCTGTCGCGGTGAATCATGGTGCAGCTGTCAGCGCGAGTGTCAGCTTGTAGCCGATCGATACTCTTCGCAAGTCGAACTGCGACCGCGTTCTCGATCCGAAAGTAGTTGCAGATCAGGCATTGCAATGCCAGATGCACTCTGGGCGACAGCTTACTGGCAGCGGTTATCCGCAAGCCCCCTCGCTTAGTTGCAGATCCCCCTGCAGGCAGGCTTGCGGTGGACGCAAGCACAGTACAGAGGGCTGTGTTTTCCGAGCCTAGTTCTCGAACCATCAGTACCTCGATGCACGGGGCATGTCTTAGGTCAGGGTACTGAACAGCGACTTCGCGGTTACCAACCCGCACTATGGTTTGGCCCCTCTCGGGGTCATTGCGTGCGACTGGGCAAGGGCCGCTCCAGCCTCCCCCGTCACCCTTGGTTGTAGTGGGTCGGTGGTAATCGACTAGATCACCATCGCGATAGGGTACTTGGCCTGGAGGTGTCGTTTTGGTGCGCAGTGCCCTGTCAGCTTTGGTGACTGCAATGGCCTGTGCGATAGCCTCCAGGCTGATCGCGCGCATCCGCTGCTCTCGTGAATGGCCACGCGCTTCCGTCTGTCATTCGTGGTCCAGCGCTGGCAAATCAGGAGGACATGCCAGCTGACGTCCATGCAACACCTGATGCGGACATACTCCATTGTGAAACGTGGAGGCGCCGGTTACGAACATAGCTTCATGCAAGAGACGGGGGAAGTTGAGTGCTATGTTGTGTAGTTGCAACCAAGTATTCCTCCATCGCGTGCGTGGTCTGTCTGAGGATCTGGTTTCTGGATTATGTCGTCGCAGCGCGTTGCCCTGGTGCTCGGGCACTGAGCTCGGCGCCCTCGCGTGGAAGAATGTCTCGAGCTGTATCATTGTTGAGAACACCTTCTCCGTCTGAGTATGGGATCTTAGCCGGGCCGCGTTGTAGACGCGAATAACGGCATGCGCCCAGCGCAGAGGTCATGGTCTAATCGGAAATTTCCTGGCCAGCGGCAAATCTGATGCGCCGTTCTATCATGTGGAATGCTTCGCGCGTCTTGTAAAAGAACAGGTCGCATTCGCATTCCTTATTGGAAATTCCCGGTAGAGCCACTGATGGCACGACTGCCTTGCCCGGCTTCTCCCACGCTCGGCATTCCCAACACGCGTCGCGCGCGCCCTCGATGAGATTGAGCCGATCGGCGTCGAGGCCAATCTTGGCGAATCTACATCTCGCCTAGGGCTTCGTAGCGCGATGCCACCGCGGGCGCAGCTTTCAGAGTTCCTTGGCGACGACAGATGGATCAAATATTCGGAAGTTTTGCATCCTCACTTGGAAATCGAAACGAATGCAGTCAGGGAGTTTAGGCGAACGCGTCTCCGCGCGGCTCTGGCCGCGGGCACTGGCGGCGGTGGTTCGCCGCCTTGCGTGCGTCCCCGCCGACCATTGTCTCGCAAGTGGTCGCCGGGGCTCCCTGCTCCGCCCCCTCCTCCACCTGCGTGGGCCCCGCGTGTCGCATCGTGATTTCCAGCGCCGCGAGTGGCGACTGCGGAAGGCTGTGGACGCCGGCTAAAGTTGCCTGGACTTATTCGCATTTCGCGTGACGGTGGCACCTTTCGAAAAGCTTCAGGTGCTGCCGGCAGGGCTGCTGGCGGTGCTGGCGCTTCCGCTGATGTTTGAAGCGCGCCCGCCGGAGGTTGATGCGCCTTGGCAAGCAGTTCGCATGGTTTTTAGAATCTGCACTTGCCGGGAGTTTTATGGTGCCCCGCTTTGTGCGACCCGTATTTCTTCTTGCAGCTTTCGCGCTCCCAGTAGATGGGATCGACGTCGTGCCATCGACGTACCCTCGGGCCCCTCGAGTGATCTGGCGAATCCTTTCGGTTGTAATCTACGCGTGCTGGACGCCCAAGGCCGCCCGGTGGCGGTCGGGCGATGGCGCCAGCAGGGCCACGAACAAAATCTTTGGCATCAAGATCAAAACCAACGCTGTTGACGACGAAGATTGGAGTGCGTTCCCGCTTACTAAACGGGCTGGCAGGTGACTCCAGAAGCTTCTTCGCAATGCGGACTTCGTCAACGAAGAGCGACTGGAATTCGCGCGCATTGCCGCGCTGCAGCAAGTTCCTCGCTGCACAGATGCGGGCGTTCGCGGCGGCCGTTGCATCTGGCGCATTGGAAGGGCAGTCAGAGATCAGGGTGATTACGCGCGAATTGTGCAGTATTTTTAATGTGCGCGCCGAATTGTCTTAGCCCTGTAGCGCACTGGTATATCGTGATTTTGTAATTGTGGCTCCGTTCCTGCAGTGTGCGCCACATGGGCGTCTCGTCTATCCAAGTGCCTGCCGGTGGTTCACGCATCCAAAATCTGCGCAGGTCATCCTGGGTTTTGGCGACGGCGCGGCAGAGGGTGATGCGTGGTAGATCTTCCTGATGGTGTTTCCACCATGCGTTGTAGTTGACCATGGCGTTCAAATCTAATGGTGGGCCCGTGGTGTGACAAGCAGGTTGTGGGATCGCCGAGCACGCCTTGCACGTGCGTTAAATACGGCTCGCTGTAAATGTTGGCCCCCAAGATCGACGCTGGCCAGCTAATCATGGTTGCCACCCGACGAAAGACGGCGCTTAAGGGCAAGTTACGACATGAATCCCATTCCACCGCAGAGCCCAAACTGCAGTGGAGCCTCTGCGGCTTTCGCCGCAGTCGTCATCTCGTCCTCAACTTTCTCTGGAATCTTGTTCGGTGTGATGCCAGTTTCTTGGTCGGCCTTCTGCTTTTCTCGTTGTTTGATTCGCGCTTCAGTCGGGCGCGCCGGTTCAGGAGTCAAAAGTTCAGGATCCGGTGCCGGCCCAGACAGCGGGGTGGGAGGAGAACAACCATCTTGGATGATGATTGTCTTTTCGTGCTTTGGGCGCTCCTGTCTGCGGTTTCCCACGAGCAGTACGGAGTTTGGGTCATCCCACTAGAAGTTGGCGCGTGCATTTTTGATCCCCTTCGGGAGTTGCGAGCACCAGTCGTGGCCAGTAGACAGATCATGAAGGCGAAGTTATTGTATCATCTTGTTGGTGTCAAGGTCATGCGTAACCCTTCGAGTGACTAGGCCCCCCTGCTTGGGGCCTTTGCCATCAAGCTGCACATATCGTGCTGCGTTTCGGTTTATACGAGTATGTAAGTTGTGCAGCGTTCCCGTTGTTTTCTCGTGGGTTTGTTTGCCTGCCTTTTGAGTATGTGTTCGGTAACTGTCACTAGGACTTGATTTCGCCATTCGACGCGTTGTTGATCGTGACCGTACCAGTCCAGTGCATGTTGGGCAGCGCCCACCCATTTGCACCTCCACGTTGTTGTGGGGGTGCGGTTGTACGTTGCTACAACCTGCGTTATCTGCGCCGCTAGGATCCTCATTCCACGGTCGCATTGAAATCCGAAGTGGCATGGGCGCATGCGTATTGTTGTGAAGTGTAGGTCGGCCTGGAGGACCCATCATTGTGATATGCAGATTGAGTCCCTTTGCTTTAGCTAATCGATTTCATAGCCGCTCCCAATGTGCACCTACTCCTTCCCCCGGTAAGTGCATGTACCACTCCGCTGGAGTGGGTGCCCGTAGCATCGCGTGGTCCCCAGCTGACACGATTCCTACATGCATGGGGTCATTTACTGATATAACTTCAGCGCGTGTTATTCTGTCACGTGTGCAACCACGGTGGCGGAGTTGAGCGGAAGCAGTGTGAATGTCTTCGGTAACGTAGCATCTCGCAAAAATATCGATTCAAGCTCGTTTCCGAGCACAGTCTGAATGCCGGATCAGATGCTCGGCAAGCTGAGGGCCAGTCATCCCCAGCCCCCAGCCTGCCCCCGTCGCGCGTCTCCGCGGTGGTCGCGGGCGCGCGCCTGATCCATATCGGTCGCCTCAATGGCCCGCCCCGTTTCGGTCGTGAGATCAGTGATGCGGGGTATGGTGCTGCTGAGAGAGCTGTTTGGGTCTCCGCGGGTGCTTGCCGCGCTGCCCGGAACCAAAATAGCGTCTCCACCGGGGGTGTCATTCGCGTCCAGCGCGAGGTGCGGGACAGGAGTCCATTGCGCCACCGTGAGATCGACCTGCTCCATCCGGATGTCCTTCATGAGCTTCACCACCTCTCTCCGATCACGGTCTACCGCTGGGTCGGCGGGATTGACGTGCCTTGCGCGGCGGCACTGAAGATGGCGGTTGACAGACTCAACGAAAGCCTCGAACGTCGCGGAGCGTGCGTTGGGTCTCTGAGACGCATCGCGCAACAGGAGGCCAGTGGACGTGATCGGGTCTCCAGGCCTTGTGAGCCCGTTGGTGCGCGTCTGCGTTCCCGCCTGTACCATGCGATTGTCCTCGGCGCCCCTCATGGCTGCAGCGATTTCGCGATGGTCAAGCCACTGTCTTGAGGAATTAGCATAAACTCAGATTGCGCCTCCGCGTCAGCGTAATTGCAGGCCGCCGCTGTCGTCTTGAATTGACCTGCCCCCACGTTGTCCGCCTGGCTTGCGATATTGAAGCATGCATCTCCAGGCCCGCGGGGCCCGCGGCAGTCGGCCCTATCCGCGCCGAGAAGATCGGGGCACGGAGTGACCAGGTGGCCGCTGGCGCTCTTCTCCAAGCGGAGGATCTTCGCACCGCGGACCAATTGCATCTTGCATGGGCCTCGTCAGGGAAGATATCATTTTCCTTCGCGCGCTCGAGCGCGGGGATGACGCGTTTCCGCTGGGGACTGCTCAGTCCGAGGAGTGCTGAGGCATCTGCGCCGACCCCGTCGGCAGCGTCGGCCGCATACGTGTCCAGCTGGCGCTTCTGCAGATAATCGCAGGCGATAAGGAACTTACCCCTCGCCTTGCACGTTGCTGATCCTGCGCTCACGCCATTGACGTATACCGTTTCCGCCAGATCACGCCTTGCAGCGTGGACGACTCATTGCGTGGCCGACTCCTCGAACTGTTTCGCCACGTTTTGGCCGGCGTCGTTCGCGCTGGAGCCGATGTCCACCGAGATTGCCAGCCTTCCGTCCGGCAGGACTGTCTTGAAAGGACCTTTGATGTCAACCTCGCGTCCGCTCCCTCGCGGCGCCTCCGCCCCCTTGCTCTGCGACCCATTCCTCTACCGACTCGGGTCCCGACGAGGCCTTCCAATCGGAGGGCCATCCGTGGTTTCGTCGGTCGCAATGGGATCTCTTGACAAAATCACTTGCGCGTTGGCACGTACCTGGCGGGCGCGATGGTCTACGCCCGCGGGAGGGATCGACCCGCGAGAAGCGCTTCCGCTGTTCATTATGAGCGATGTCTCGTGGCGAGAGCCGGCGTGGCTGCGCGCGCTCTGCGGCGAGTCGATTCGGCGAGGCTGCCCCGACCGCGGCGGAGGTAGCCTGCGCCTGCACGTGCCTTGGGTCGCGTTCTGCTGCCGCTACTGCTCGAGCCCGACCGACGGAGGATCGTGCAACGGCGGAGCGGGCGCGCGCGGACTGTCGTCGCGAGTCTGCTCCAAAGTCGCAATGGTCCGCTGGTGCGGCGCGCTGTCTGGCGAGTTCCCTCGCTGCGGAGCGTCGTTCGGCGCGCCCGCCTGCGCGCGGGCAGCGCGCTGCTGGGCCTCGCGAAGCTGGCGCTGCAGCTCCGAAACTTGCGACTGCAATGAAATGAGCTCGACAGCCTGGGTTGGCTGTGAATCGCCACCCCGGTGGCCAGCGTCGGGGCGCGCGACGCCGCAATGATGCCAGCGCCGCGGCGCACCGCGCAAGGGGCATCCATGGGGGCACCTGTCCTCTGATTGACCACGCGCGCGCGGTTGACGCCATCCCAGCATTCGCCCTGGCACTGGTGTCCGCGCCGTGGGCGCCACAAATTATCCCGCGGCTGGAAGGGCTGCAGGCATACTGCGCACTGCGTGAACTCAATGTCCGGAATGGCTGGGGCCTAGGCCCCAGCTGAGTGTTCGGCTGGAGCCTCCCCTGCCTCTCCAGTGCAGATTCTGAAGCATTGTATGCGTGGGGAGGTGCAGCTGTTGATGATGGTGTGTCTGCACCTCACTGCGCGTCTCCGCGTTCGATCCTCTCGGCCGCCCATGCACTGGCCTGCCGCGAGCCGTTGCGCGCCCGCGTGGCGGCGACAAGCTTCTGCTCGGCCGTCATATTATCCTGCGTGGCGTGGCAGATGCCCTCGATGCCATCGGCGACGGGGCCTGAGGGCGCAGCTACGGCAGCGCCTGCCCCATGCACTTGAGTCTCCGCGCCCAGCGGCGTCGGCCGGTAGGACACGTGAGGACGAAATGCTGAGTCTACCGCGCGCATGGCTGACATCCGGTGGAACTCCTCGGTGGCCTCGCTGGTGCACCTGTCGGCTGGGATGGCGCGCCCACGCGTTCCCGCCCATCTACTTCGCGGAAGCACTCGGGGTGCATCGGCGCATCCATCGGAAGTGGTTCTGGGGCGCCCAGAGGAGAACGGGCGAGGCGCGGGTGCATGCCGAAGACCGGCGCGCATTGGGATCTGCCAGCCGGCGCGGGGTCTGGGCTCGGATCAGGAATCCACGAGCATGATGGAGTCCAACCTCCCATCCGTTGCTCGAGCCGACCCGCCGCGATCCCGAGGGCCCGCGTCTGCTCGATGCCCTCCTGCTGCTGTCGTTGAATGAAGCGTTGCCGCTGGTAGTGGGGGCCGTGGCAGGCGGATGCTTCCGGCCCGTCCCCAGGCTGCGCTGCCGTGGACGCAGCGAAGGGCATCGCCGCAGGCGGCGCCGCGGGCGTCGTCGCGCGGAGCGCCGCGCGCAAGTAGGCCGCCGACGCAGCCGCTTCAGCCTCTGCAGCAAGTCGCGCGCGGTACCCCCCCGGCACGGCGACGCAGCGAATGCAGCGCCGAGGGCGCGCTGGCTGGCCGGCGAGCCCAGGTCCATCGGCTCGAACCGGGCGGGCCCAGCTGCGCTGGCCGGCCTCGGCGGTCCAGCCGCTGCCGCCGTAGGGCGGGTGCTTTGTTGGAGGTCTGCTGCAGCGGCCCGCGGGTCGAAGTGGGCCAGCTGGGCCACGGCCGCTTCGATGGCGGCCGGGGTCATGGCACCCCTGGTGGTGCAGGCGTTGAGGGGGTGTCATGACCTGGCCGAAATACAGGGTTGCGTTTGCGCGCTGTGGTGGCGAGCGCCTCCGCTGGATCCACCCAGCGCGCGCACCGTCGATCCCCTGAGGATGCCGCGCGGGGCCTCGACGACCGAGCCGAAGGGCTTCTCGGGGAAGTGCCAGCCGCGGCCCAGCTCTCCCTCCGTGATGGAGCCCCGGCAACTGCAGGAGGGATCGAAGCGTAGCGGATCGCGCCACACCCGGTTTGTATATTCCCAGACGTGGCCGCCACCTGCACGATAAAACGTGGTGATATACGGACATAAGCGTTTCCGCTGGTCTGCAATGTCGCTATCTGACCTCAATGCCTTCACGCGATCGCGAAGGAGGAGCGGAGCGGACATGAAGATGGCACGTTCCGCGCCCTTGCGAAAGCCGCTCTGACTGCGACGGCCCCCTAGCAGATATGGGCGCCCGTGGATGAACTGGCGCCCCTGCTCCTTGCCATCGGCATTCCCGCGGGGATTATCGTCGGTGCGGCATGAGAGGCCAACTTGCACCATTGACGGCACGCGTGTGATTTTCGTGCCGTGAGCGAACTGCATAACGTCTGCCGTGTTGGTTGTGGGGCGATGGCGGCTCTCCAGTCCTTGAATGCCTAGTCGGCCGTGGCCATTGGTGGCCCGAATGTATAGCCCATCGTCGTCATCGATGATGCACGGACCCTCGTTGTTTGCGTCTCCGCGGCAAATCTCCGCAAGTTCGATTTTTTTATATATTATTATTTTTTCTGATCGCCCGAACGGTCCACCACCTCGGCCACCATAATAAGTACAAGGGCGATGTGGTCCATGTCCTGTTCATCTGGGCCCATGTATTTCACGGCGGTCGAGCGGCCTGCGCCCCCGTTCTGGCCCGCCAGGAAATCGGTCACCAATGCCCAGCCGCCCACGACATCGTAAGTCGGGACAGCCTGCAGGGGCACCTTGCCCAGTCCATCCTTGCCCCGGGAAGGACAAAATTGACGATGGCGGAGGACTTGCGGGAACCGTTGGCGCACGAGCATGAGCTCGTCGGGACTGGGGAGGGGCCGCCAGTCACGCCCAGCGAGCGCCCCCCCCCCCCTGATAAGCCTCAGCGGGAGATTCGGAGCACGTCGCGCATCCGCTGTCGGTTTCTCTCGGCGCCGTCGTTGCAAGGCCTCGTACATGCGATGTTGCGAATAGAGACGAGAAGCCCTTCGGCGTCGGTAGCGGGCGCGTCATCGTCAATGCTGCGCACGATGCGCTTCCGCGATGCACCAGGCGCCCCCCCCCCGCGGCGCCTCCGTCCTTGCACCTCCTTCAAATGCGTTTCTGCCCCCGTCGCCCTCCGCGCCGGGCGCGACGATGGAGGTTGCGCCATTTGCTCCGGGGCGGGGAGCGCGCTTCCTCCGAGGCGCGCTCGCGGCGGCCGGGGAAGAGGCCGCAGCACTTGCTGCAGCCTTTTTGTTTGGCCCCTTGCTTCTGGAAGCCGCGGAACTCATGGGCGGCGCCCAAGTCTCCGCGATGAACGCTCCGATCCCGGGATTCTGGAAACCCGACAGCCGCCGGCTGCTGGCAAGGGTTGCCGAACCCGCGAACTTCGCGGCAGCGGCAGCTGCCTTCGGCCCTTGGAGCGCCCCCACGTTTCCCGAATGCCAGGCGGAGGGGCCCGTGGCGCAGTCTGTGAAATGCTTCCCCGTCGCCGCGCCTGAAGTGGCCGACCTGGCCTTGCGCTTCGAGGCGGGCACGGGGGCCGTCCGACGGAGAACTCTCCTTGCCCCTGGGCGCCGATGGCGAAGCGGCATCTGCCTCGGAGCCTTCGGCGCCGACAGAACGGTAAGATTGCGAGGGGGTCGGCGTCGGCTGGACAAGCGCTCCGGCACCCTTGGCACGCTAATCCGCGCCTTTCCCCTTGCCAGCGCGCGCCTCGCCCCGGCCAGCCTTTCTCTCGGCCAAGCCCGTCGAACTGGGTGGCGACGCTGGCGCAACGCCCGAAGACGAAGCAGCAGCGGCATCAGCGCTCGTCGCGTTTCCGCCCCTGTCTCCATCAACTTCTCCGCTCCCTTCTACTTATTATTATTATTCTTCCCCGGCGTTTCCGCGATCTTCCTCTTCGCCATCGTGGAACTGTCTGTTACCTTTTAAGCTCCTGGTTGGTGGAGAGGTCGGCCCATGCCCGGGCGATCGCAGCGGGAACTTCCTGGTCGCTGCAGCGGCCAGCCTCCGACGCCGCCTCTCTGGCCCGATTGACGTCGCCCCCGTGGCGCGACAACCGC